TCGGAAGAGAAGCTAGCAATCGACAAAACCGGGGATCGAAGTCTACTTCATACGAGATTTGTGTATCTACATCTTGAGAGAGTGAGAGAGAGAGAGAAGATGGGAGGCGAAGAAGAAAGGAAGAAGAGGGTGGTGGTGGAATCTCTGGGATGGCTGACGGAATCTTCAATAATGCCGAAGAAGCACCGCGCCATCGAAGGCGTGGGTCCTTCCTCCATCATGGAGCTCAAGGCTCAGCTCTACAGATCCCAGGAAGAATCCAAAAATTCCAAGGATTTGGCCTCCTCCGACGTTCACTACCACCGCGCCAAGCAGAGGATCGCTGCGCACAATTCCTTCTCCGGAAAGAACTCCGGCGTCGAGGCTCGCGCCCGAAAGTAAGTCGCTATGGTTAGACGTTTTTGGCTCTTTCCGGTTACATGATATTTGGGAATTAGGGTTTCTGGGATTGGGTCTTGATTTTCTCCGTGCCGAATTCGAGTTTCGTATCTCCATGTCTGGGTAAGATAAGTTTATCATTGAACTTCTTAGATTTAGTGCGGTTGTTGATCTCAAATTTGATACGAAGGAAAGGTTTTTAGAATTTGGGAATTAGGTTTGTTTCAACAATTTGGGAATTATATGGCTTGATTTCCAGTTTTTGGCTATGGACAAATCATCACGAGCTTATCTTTAGGCTTCAGTTCCTCTGGAAGTGTAGACAGAGAAGCTACATCCTCTGTTTCGGGTTTTCTTTAGCACCAAACCCTGCATTATTTTGTTTGGTTACATGATGGAATGTCTTTTTCTATTTTGTTGTTTGTGAAACAAAGAGACAAGCTCGAGCTTAAAGCAGTGAAAGATGGATCTGCAAGCTATGCAGCTTTGGAGAAAAAGGCCGAGTTGTATGAAAAGCTTGTAAGGGGACAACTGTCTGACGAAGAAGATCAGGAGAAGTATTGTGTCGATTTCTTCCGGAAGGGTATAGAACAAGAAGAACCACTCCAACCGGAAGGTTCTGCATCAGCATTGGCACCTCCCGACGATGAAAAGGGTGAGGATGAAGGTGATGAGGGTTCTCTGTTTAGTACCAGCTTTGTCGGACCTGGACGGACTGTTGGAACAGCCAACACGAGTGATCATGTCCGTATGGTCAGGTAAATCCTTCTACTTTTGTTAGAATGATGAGTTTGCTCCGTACATAGCTAAGAGGGTAAAACAAGAAAAACACACCCTATATATATTGTATATTTACTCATATAACGTTGTATTTGTGTAAATGAACGTGAATAAGCATCCATCTGAATAGGGATGAGTAATTTGGTTAATGACTGAAATAACCGAATAACATATGACCGTAACCGAACCAAATACGATATAAAAAAAAATGGTTATGATTTCTCTAGAATTGAAGAAATCTCGAACCCGAACCTAATGAAAAATATAACCAAAAAATCCGAAAGTTTCTTTGAAAAATTAGTGTTTTTATCAATAAAAACCGAAAACTAGCTGAACTGAACAAAATCTAATATAGAAACCAAATTGTTATAGTTTTTCTAAACCCGAATATAACGGGATCCGAAATGCCCACCCTAAATCTGATGGGCTTATGTGAGTGATCTGTCAGGGAGGTTCATGAAGAAGTGAATCGAGCAAGAGAGAAAGCAACGGAGCTGAAACAGAGGAGGGAAGAGCAGGCAGCAGCTCGTCGGGAGAAACTCAGACAGGCTTACCTTCGCAAGCAGCTCGAGAAACGTAAGGCTCAACAACAACAAGCCACCACAGAATGATGGGCCAACCACACATAAATTTGGGGATGTGTTCTCTATATGCTGCCGCCATTAACAGGGAGCTGTTCAAGTGTGTATCAATACCATCTTTGTCATATATGTGTGAAAATGAATAGCTTTACATGATATGATGATTTGTTTACAGAGTCTTATCAGAGCTTCTCTTTTTACAGGAAACAAAAAAAAAAAAAGACAGTAAATGGAGCTTTGGTTGGACATTTAAAAAAGGTGATAGTCTCCATATTCACGACAAGTAAGTAAATTCACCAGTTGATGGGCAATAAAAATGCAAGCTTTTAGCGACCCTTTGGCCGTACAAACAGAGAAATTTGTAGAAGACCTTAACTCTTAGTACTCCTAGTCAAGTCTACTCCCAAAGGCCGAAACTTTGCTACCGAAGAATTTGTTCTTCTTCCTGAATTTGCGAATATCAACCAGCCTAGATTCACTCTTTTAAGAATGTAGTGTTGATTATATAAATGCAGATGAATAAATGGAAAAAAGAATGAAAATACTTATATTGCACCAATATTTTATTGCAGACTGCCAAGTTATGCCCGATTCCGAGAACGTCTTGAATATTTGTAGATGGCTTTCATGTACCAAAGGTCAATCCATAGGAGAAGTTCTAGATTCTGTGAACTAGTTCTGTTCGATCAAATGTCATTATTACCATATCCATGGATCAACACATAAATAAAGGAACGAAGGCAATGTTCCGAGTCCGAGGATAGGAGTACAGAACAAAATCTCATCAAGAACGGTAATGACGAAAGTCAGAAATCGACGGCAGCATTTAAATGACTTGTGACCCAATAAACTATAGGAAGAAGATGATACGAAGAGAAGAGACGGGGGATCTGGAAAACTGTCATCTTTCAGGGTGTGAATGCAGAGAACGCCACGACGGAGTTGTGTCCACCAAACCCGAAAGAGTTTGATATGGCTGCGAGAACAGCCAAGAACAAAATCCGATCAGAGAACTGTATCAGTGAATGAATTGTGTATAAAATCCCATTTTTTTCACAAGGGTATGAATTAGAGATGTTCACTTACCGACATTGACCTCGTGTTGCTTCTTCACGTTGGCGACCGTGTCGAAATCCACAGCCGGTTCCGGGTTCTGTAGTAACGAGTTTCCCATGTAAGAAAAGAAACAGGGGAAAAGTCATAACCTGTGGCAAATCCAAGACTCTAATACGTGTATGTCGGCCACTGAATAAATGTGAATCAACATTAGGAGCTCGCTACTGCAAACCAAAAGTCCCAAGCTCCAACCTTTACAAATCTAAAGTCTAACTAATTTGAGGTATCCTAAGTCTAAGCAAGATGGGTAATCAAAATTCATCCGCTACGCTGAATTTTCCGTGTAAAAGCTTTGATTTCCAAAGATACGAAAGTAAGGTAGGTAAAGGGAATGAGTACGTAAACGAAGGAAAAATATATTATACGTACAAATTGGTTGATGGAGGGATGCAACCATCCAGTGGTGATGGCCTTCACGGTGGCAATGGCTTCCAAACCACCAGCTGCACCAAGGCAGTGACCTATCATGGACTACACACACGGAATCCAACTCAGTTTTAGGGAATGCAACAGCAAAAAAAGAAAAATGATAAATCAGAGTATCAAGAATCTCTAGAGTTGGAATGAACCTTGGTGGCATTGATTTTGATCTCTGAAGTGTTCTTGAACACTTTCTTAATTGCATTGATCTCAGCAAGATCACCCGCCAGAGTGGATGTTGCGTGTGCATTAATGTAATTCACCTAGAAATTCACGAAAATCATAACTCAAGAATATTCAAATGTGGGTCTAAATATATAATACTAAAAAAAATCATTCTTCTCCTGTTACGAACAGCAAAAAACTCGGTTAGCCTGAAAAAAAAAACGATTTTTTTACCTCCTCGGGTGATACACCAGCATCTTCAAGGCATCTCTCGATGCAAGAAGAGACACCAAGCCCATCAGACCTTGGATCGGTCATATGGTAAGCATCACAATTAATAGCCCCTCCGAGGTATTCTGCTATAATAGGAGCACCTCGTTTCAATGCATGTTCCAAGCTCTCCATCACCTATGGGAAAGGAAAACAAAATCTTGAGGAAACGTCATATGACATCTATACACTGCCATACTTGATTCATTTATCCAATTACACAGAGCAGGCATGCAAGTATCCAACAAGGCAGCTTCAAGTACTCATCCACCTTTTGTGGTAGCGGACTCTTCCATCCCAACAGAGCCATCCAACAATCTTAATTTCATTCCCATCTATCTCTGGGTTTAGACCAATAGATAGAATTCCATTATAATTTGTAATAAATTTAACCTGTTATTCTTGGCCTTACTCAGCACCATCAGAACTCTTAGTACATGCATTCATGATACAAGTACATGAACAACAAACAGAAATGTATGTATGTGCATTTGTACATTCATCATGAGAATATGAAGAGATCTGAAACTAACCAGTACACCGGCTCCTTCACCCATGACGAACCCATCTCTGTCCTTGTCCCATGGCCTTGAAGCAGTTTTAGGGTCATCGTTTCTCTGGGACAGAGCCCTGCAAGCAACAAAGCCTCCCAACCCAATAGGAATAATGGCGGCCTCAGTTCCACCAGCGAGCATCATATCAGCCTCGCCCCGACGGATGTGATTCGCAGCCGCATAAAAGCAGTAATTTGAAGTGGCACAAGCAGTTGAGATGGAATAGTTCGGACCCATAAGACCAAGATCAATTGCCAGTAAGGCAGAACCCATGTTTGTTATGGCATAAGGAATGAAGAAAGGAGTTATTCTCCTGTGACCTTTCTCTATCAGAGCCTGAACACCGTCTGAAAAGACGGTCAGACCACCCATACCAGTTCCAACTAGTACTCCGGCTCGTATCTTATCAATCTGCAAGGAATTCAAAATTGAGAAGAGCTAAGAGATCAGATGTCGAAAGCGCCTTCTTAGAATTCAAAGAAGAGAGAGAAGAAGATAAAAGAAGAATCTCCTTGAACCATGGCATAAATTAACTCCTACTCTTCGTCGTCACTGGTGTACATTGTACACTAACTAATCTATTTCAATCACATACACATCTAAGCCACTTCAAAGCTAAAGCCCGACATGACAGGAGAAAATGCTAAAATTGTTCAAAATCGAACACTAACAATTGAAACATCCCAAGGTCCTCGTGAAAATTGGCAACGGCATATATCGCATCCAAGTTCACCAAAATTGCAAGATAGATTCTCATACAATTCATAATTTCACAATGTAGGAGCCAAATGAATCATAAAAAGAAACAAAACCCACCAAAAAAGTTCTTAACTTTAAAATGATAACGCAACTAGCTACTCATAACTCGCGAACTTTCCACTATTTGATTGAATCAGCTGAAGGACCAAAACGCAGGAGTGTTGCACTTGCACCTTGCTATTATCGAAATTCATAAATAATGAATGTACCATCCAACGATTGAACCATTGAAAAAAAGGGCAAAATCAGAAATTTAAACCAAAATGCACCTTGTTAAGCTTGTCACCCCCAAGATCCGCACTCTCAAGAGCCTTCTTCCCGGCGACAATGCAATACTTCAAGCAATCGTCTTGCCGGCGGTCGTTCTTCCCATCGATATACCCTTCCGAGCTAAACCCACGGATCTGGCCACCGAACCGGGTCGGGAACTTGGACGCATCAAATCTGTCGATGTTGCTGATTCCGCTCTCACCGGCCAACAATTTCTCGTAGTAAGCGTCCACATCATTTCCGAACACCGACACGAGACCCGTACCCGTGATTACGACCCGTTTATTCGGGTCGGTCTCGCGTTTCGGCGCCGAAACGGCGGCGGACGCGGCGATGAAATGCTGTTTCCTTGTGGGTCTCGCATTGGCAATCTGATGGGACTGTCGATTGGAGTGTTTCCGAAGGGGATTCGGCGGCGAGGCGCGAAGAGAGGGCGATTGCAGAACTTGCATGGCGAATTCAGGAACTGAGGGGGGGGGGAGAGAGAGAGAGAGAGCGACAATCACGATGTTGTGGAGTAGTGTGATTTGCGTTGTGAGTTCAGATTTCAGGAGAGCCCCAAAAATACTCAGAAAAGAAAACTAAATTTACCTAAAAGTCCCTATATTTTATAATTATGAACTATTTAGCCTCGTTGTCCTATTTCCTACTTGAACTACCCAGATTTAACTTTCAAACATGTTTTTTTATTTATTTTATAGAGCAATAAATCATGTTGACAAATTCTACACAATCTCTTCAATCGGAGGAACAGAAAATGAAGGCCATCCATCATTCCGCATTGACCAAATTTAATAGCAGTTGCTGCCTCGGCATTTTACACTTTCCTTTTTTTTTTTTGAAGCAACACACAAATATAAAAAGCTCATTTAGTACAATATCAATATCACAAAATTATAAACAACTGATTTTTTTTCCAATATATTTGTTAAGTTATTATCAAAATATGTAAATCTTCTAAAAATATATTATCATTTTTAAAGTTTCATGGAAATTAAATTTACCGAGAGGTATTTTTTGTACACTACCAACATCGGTTTTTTTTTTGTAAATTTTTCCAACTAAAGTTTTTTATACATTATAAGCATCATAAAATTATTGATTTGAAGCATCTAAAAAGTTTTTTATTGTCTTCATTGGCAATATTTATAATTAATGTCTGTTAAATGTCCATATATTCGTAGAAAACTTCCCCAAAAAATCTTTATTAACACAATGTGATATATATATATATATAATATGTATAACTATATAATAATTTTTCATTTTTTAAAGAATAATACTTCATATTCATATAGTTAGATATTTTTGTAAAATATTAAACTATTGCGTGTATATATATATATATATAAGCGCGTGAAAACTTATATATAAAGAAATTTTATTATGTTATTGAATAGATATATATTAAAATATTTCATTTTATATAATCAAGCGCATTAAAAAATAGATATAATCACTTGTTTGTGTGTATAGATTAGTATTTTTTTTAATTAGTTATGGTTATATTTTACCTAAAAGGGTCGACATATCAAACTTTCTAAATAAATATTACTTTTATTAAATTTAAATTTATTTATGTTTATTTATTCACTTACTAATATGTTTACATCTTATCTACTTGAATAAATTACATATTCATGACGCCAATTTTCCAAAAAGTGGAGAATAAAAATAGATCTAAAATTGTATAGATTCCCGTGAAAAGTTACGTGAAAGATGTATATCAAATATAGTGTCGCATTCGCATATGAATACGAGTAAGTTCACTCGAGAACGTTACATAATTCATGCGTTTTATAAATATTTATAAATTTATAGATCACACGATTTATATATTTATTTACACGAGTTAGAATATATAAGAAAAAAATAATAGTATAATGTTACAAGAAAAAACAATATCAAATATTGGCGTAGCTGGTTCAGTATTTTTATTTTTTAATCGGAGATCAAGGGTTCGAACCCTGTTTTTTGGGAATAGAGTAATCTTTGACACCAAATTTTTATAGTTTCGTGCGGTGGTCCAAAAACGAAAGAAAAATAATCTGAATGTGAAAAGTTTAAAGGTGTCGTCGGTTAATAATTAAACGCCATTAAAGAAAATCCGTGAACTATCCAAAAAAACCGCAATAATAAGAAGGAAATACATAACAAATTCCATTATAACAGATTCTTTATTCTCAAATTCAAAACTAGTACGGTATTTGGAATTTTTCTGAGCATTGATCATATGACAATTAATATTTCTTCTTCTTGTTCTTGTTTTTGCTCTTCTTCCTGGGCTTAGAACCCTCTGGCTTGTTCGGAGTCTTATCTTGCGAGAGCATCGTCAGCCTCGACGAAGCTTCCATTTCCAGAGCTCTGCCGTACACCATCTGTCGAAGAGCTTCAAGTTTGCTCTTGAACTCGTACAGTTCCCCCAAATTCATGTCATTCACGTCCTTAATGTTGTTCCTTTCACGCGTCTCCTTCAATTTCTCCTTCAAAAACTGCGACAAACCATAGGAAATATATCAACACATATATATACACACACACAAACTCTTGTGAAATTATATATATACTTCTCCGCGGAATTTCTCGATCTGCAACTCGTCCTCGAGGCGGCGGAGGTAAGCTTGAGAGTTTTGAAGGCGAGCATGCTGAGAGGAATCGCCATAAGAGTAGGGTTTTCCTTCCGGGGAGAAAACCATCGTACGGCCACGTCACTTGCTCCTTGTTACAACAAGAGGGTTTAGGTTTCTGCTGTTGTGTGTTGTGTGGTCTGATTTCCTCAATTTATAGATGTTTTTTTTATAGAGAAAATGGGGTTAAAGTCTATTGAATTGTGTCTATCTAGAAAGATTTCCATCTTCCATAATTGGCTTTAATTATTCCTCATTTTATAATTTTAAAAAATATAATATCTTTTTATTAAAATTTATTAAATCATAAAAATTTTGAAACCGCCATTAAAACCTATATAAAAAAAAGCACTTGTGGAAGAGTTGATGTTTTTAGGAAGAGTTTGGTTAAGGATTGGAATCCAATAAATACAAACAAATTTAGATATTTATTCATCTTTGAGCTGAAAGTAGAAATTTTATCTCGTATTTACATTTATATTATTAAATTTTAGAGATATACTCATATATATATGTATGCATGTATTTATGGGGTATTTTTTTTAACACATTAATGAGGTTTTAGTTTATTCTTGGTCCACCTTCCTTATTTTGCAAAGTGTTTATTGTTTTTCCTTATTAGTCTAAACAATATCATATTTATTTTCAAATCTAATTATTTTACCATATAATGAAATTAAATTTTAATAGGATTTTTTTTAAAAGCTAAAATTTATTGAAATACATATGGTAAAAAATATGGCGATTTTTAATTTCTTATTCATTACCACTTAGATTTTACATTATTGCATGCAATTTAGTATTTACAGTTTCGGCCTTCGACCGGTTCTTGTGGCCACCGCACTTAACCTCAGTCTTGAAATGGGCTTTATACATTGAAATCTCTCGCTTTTGGGCCTATTTATTTTGGGTCGATCTCTGGTTATTATGTGTAATAATTACGAAAAAAAATAACATATTAAAAAAGAAATAAGTTTAATTACAGATCCATCTGACAAATATTGTAGTAACAAGAGCCAAAAATATCATGAAATTATATTATTCTATTACTAATATTATCATATTGCAACTAGTTGATATTATTATAGAGTAAAATGGGGCTAGTGTGCAAAAAAAAACTTTGTGAAATATATATATTTTTTTCAAAACCTTTACATTCGATATGATAAATTATCCAAAATATCCCTAGTCTTAATATTTATTATCCAAAATATAATAATCTCTTTAAAAAAAGGGAAAAGAATATGTTCTTTACGTCCATCACATATCTTTGCGGCTTCTCACATTTACTTCTCTCCTCTCATATTTATTTTCATTTATAACATAAATTTATTTCTTTTAATCGAATTATTGCCAAAACATTTATTTTAGAAAGATAAGAAAAATTAGTTTTATAGAAGATTTAGTATTAAATATATTTATTTTCATAAATACATATAATGTCGCATGTTTAAACATTTTATTACAAATCATGATAAATTGATATAACTGATTATATAATGCTCCAAATTTGATATGAAATCTGCCAAGCAGCAAAAGTCAAAACTGCCAATAACAAAAGTCAAACCTACAAATCTCTCTAATAGCAAAATTTGCGAACATGTAAACCTGCTAACCCATCAAACCTGCAAATCTCCAAACCTACAAAATCAATATTGATCTTAACCATTTAAATTAATTTATATAAAGTTAATATTAAATTTATGTGTAAAGCTAAGCTAATATAATCATTTTTATATCAATAAATCGAGTTAGTAATTGAAAAAAAAAATGAAGTTTTTATAAGACGAGTAATATCATCAATTATCCAACTCCAAATTCATCAAGGCAATTTTCAGAGACCTCATAATTACTTTTATTAGTTAAAGATTTGTCTGGTGCAATTTTATTTCATCATTCAGGATTCTGCATGTGATCTCACTATTTCTTATTAACCCCTTTTAATCGTTGGCTAATCATTAATTAGCGACTCCTCATTTATCTTGTTCCAAACAATAAAAGTCAAAGCTACCAACCAGCAAAACTTTCAACATGTCAACGTTTTATATGAGGAGAGTAACCACAAAAGCAGATGTGTTCAGCTTTGGGGTAATAATTCTGGAGCTTCTGATGAAACGGAGGCCAACTGGAGTGATCGATGAACGAACACCACGACTGACTTTACGTCAGTTTGCCGAGAAATCACTTGCAGGTGGAACAGATGAGATAATGAAGGCTCTAGATCCAGATATTACCTTTTCTGTCATCCCTCCGAAATACGAGGAAGCCATTGAAGCTCTGTTTGTTCTGTACAAGTTCTAGACCTGAAGACCGACCCGAAATGAACGAGGTTCTTACTTATCTCATGAAGGTTAGGGGGAAATTGCCTGAAGATGATGATGAAGGGTTTAGCATCAGCTAGGGTTTAGGGTTCTGTGTTAGAACAAAACCATAGAAGCAGACCATAATTCAGGATTCTGTGTTGAAATAACATGAGCAGGTCTAGAACACCCTGTAGAGAGATTGGACTGATGAACAAGCAGTGTAAGCAGTGAAACGAATATATAACTCTCTATGTAACAGAAATGTGATTCGGTTTCGTATTTATGAACAGATAATATGTTAACTGTGTACAACAAGAATGACTCTAACCTTTTTGTCCAAGTTTTTACTCGTCTGTCTGATTGCAATGACTATCGACACTTTCTCTGTCTCTGGGGGAAGAACAAAGGTTTGGCTCTAATAGCTCAGGTGCGATTTGTTCCTGCTGCTCTTGCTCTGGCAACTGATCTCGCGTAAAGCTCCTCATACTGAGTAGCCGACGATGTCCAACTGAAATCTATGTTCATGACCTTCTCAATAAGTCGTTTCCAACCTTCTGCATTGTTCTTGTAATGATTAAACGCACGCTCCAGAGCATAATTCAACCCCTGTTTCGAAGAATTTTTTGTCAGATCACACGATCCAAGATGGACAATGACAACAGATTATTGCATCATAGATATACAGATTATTGCATCATAGATGTATATCAAGAAGCCAGAAGAAGTGAAAATGGTTTTCCATAAAGGGGGTCAAGAGGTATTTGATACATTATTTACAGTTCATGATTTATGTATGGGACAATACACAAAAGGGTCCATATAGATTCAGTTGAAATGTGATTAGGGCATTCAAATAGATTCAGTTGGATTGCAGAACATGGGCTATTTGCCGAAACAAAAACTAACGACGATAACTACTAGAATTGGTTGTTCAGAGAGAATTGAGATAATCACCTGCTCATCAGCAGTAGTAAACGTGAATCCATTCTGGAACTGCATCGGTATTGTATCATCATCAACATCAAAGACACTGAAATTGACGAACGAAAAAAAAAACCATTATGAGCCTTTTTTTTACAATCGGGGAGATGATCTTTCTGACCTTTGACATGTGAGAGATAATGCTTAGATAAATTATTGTTTGTTTTACCTGTCATTCAAGCCACCGGTCTTCCTGGCGATTGGTATGGTGCCATACCTCATGGCTATCATCTGCATGGAAAGAGAGCAAACAAAACACCCAGAGTTATGTGACTTCAGCTTATTACTGGTGTCAAGTAGAGAATTAAGCTTAGCGATGCATACCTGTGTAAGCCCGCAAGGCTCAAATATTGAAGGAATGATGAATATATCTGATGCTGCATAGATTGAATGAGAAAGAGATTCATCGTACTTCAGTATCAGGCGTACATGATCATGATTCTGAAACTGGTGCTCTATACCCTCAAATTCCCTCTGCAAAAAAATAAAAACGATGATATAGAAGATGAATATAAGAGGAGAGAGGCGAGGGGGAGAACCAAGAAGAGATTGAAGATGTACCTGAATATGAGGGACTGGGCTAGAACCAAGAAGGACGAACTGTCCACCCAACTCTACCGTTCGGTATATTGCATGTCTGATTAAATGCACTCCTTTCTGTGGGACCAATCTTGTAATGCAACCAACCTATTGAGACGATGAATTAAAATTTAACTGGTTAACTTTCTCAAGAATCGGTCACAATCCTCAAAAATGTGTGTGCATGCATCTAAGTTGTCCACGGTCCATATGAATGTGTATGGTGCAAATCGTTGACATCATCTTAACAGTAAACATCAATCAATCAGTTCAGCACTTCGGAATTGATTTACCAGAGGTCGTCTTCCAGTAGATGATGAAAGTCCCAGTTGCCGCCTAAGCGCATATTTATTTTCTTCTTTCCCTTGAAGATCATTAGCACTATACTGGGCCTTGAGGAAAGGATCAGTGGCAGGATTCCATGCATCTGTGTCAATGCCATTAAGAATTCCGATGAACTTTTTCGAGTAGAAATTGAGTGTTGAATGGAGTCCTCTTCCGCCCTGTAAGCTCATTAAGGGAATAGGTTTCACAATCACCCACAAGGCTTTTGAGTTTTGATAAATTTCAAAGTACTTATTGCATATGGCTTACGATAACCCTTTAATTCTAAAAGTCTCCAATGATTATAAATTCCGATAAAAAAAGTAGGGAAAGACGACATATAGTATCTCCTCAACCAACTAAAAGTTAATGAAAAGGATGAAAGACCAACAAAAATTATGTACCTCGGCTGTTCGAACTTCTTGAGCATAAGTAGGGGAAACGGTTGTCACAATGTTTGAGAAAACTATTGCTCCCTGGATAAGAAAGGAGGGAATAGAAAATGGGTAAAAGGAAAATGTCATATAATCCACTAATTATGTTGGTCATAGTAGAAATTCAAGTAATTATCAACCACCTTAACAGGATTGATCCTATCTTCGGAAGAATTATCCTGCATCCTGTCTGGTCTATTTAGTTGGCTGACATCAAGTCCACAAGATGCCAATTCTGAAGCAGGTGCATTTCCTTGGTACTCGAAATTATGGCATGTAAAGCATATTCTTGCAGAATTCAACCCCTTTGGAGCATATAGATCCCAGTAAAGCGGAGCCTAAACATCAAGGAGAGTTTCAAAACATATAAAAAACAAAAAAGATAACGTACAAGCTAAGAGAGAACATTAAGCTACTAAGATATATAAACCATACAACAAAAGCTGTTTGCCAGTCATGACAATGTATGATGTCAGGTTTCTTGCCGGCATGAAGAAGCAATTCAAGCGCAACACGACTAAAATACGAGAAGCGTTTAAAATCATCATGCTCCCCATAAAACTGTCCTCTCCAGAAGAATTTGTTTGGATGATGAGGCTCGATAAAATATACGGGCAAACCTGTAATAAAAATTCTGTATTTCACTGGAAACCAAAAGAGAATGCTTGTAAACAAAACCTCACAAGACTAACCTTCGACGGTGCCAACCCAGATTTTATTTTTATAAAGCTTCCCATCGAAATATGACTCCACAACACTATCTAGGGCCTGTGTGAATAATTCAGCAATCAACAAGAATGCCTAGATAAAGCTCTCTTCTCAAAATCAAAATCTTTATATAGCTTAACCTACCCTTAGGTCCCGAATACGATCATACTGCATGCAGTCATACTTGGGAAGAATAATCTCCACTAGATGTCCTCTTCGTTGCAATGACTTACCAAGACCCGTCACAACATCCGCCAAACCTCCCACCTGAAATGAAAATTACATAAAAGGGAAGGTAAAAAAATACACGCCAGAGGTAAACAACTAGACAAAGGCTAAGAAATACATATTATACTTTTCTCTTCTCGAGTTTCTATATTTTAATCCTGAATGTCCTGTTATATGCTTTTACATCAGAAAATCAAGATCAAAGCAAGCTTAGGGGGTTAGCTAAACACACCTTAGCTACTGGTGCCATCTCAGCTGCAATGTTAACAACATATAACCCTGGACTAAAATCAACATATATGAAGAGAACAAGTTAATTTTCAAAAAGATTTGCAAGCGAAAATAAGCATTTGAAAGGTGATACCTCGTCGGTGATGACACTAGCTTGAGGAACACAGAGATGGCTTCGGGTTCATTTTTATCTTTGCATGCGATATATGTATCATGAATTCTTCTGTCTCTCTTCCACACCATTTCTCTCAGTAAGTTTGCATCACTGCTTGCTATTTTCTTTTCAAACAGCCATCCATCAATGGCTAGTAGTAAACGGCTCCAAAAATCCCAGGGCATATCATTGACTGGCTCATCTATAGCTTTTTTCCTGCTTTCTTCCTTCAAGTTTTCAAGTGTTTCTTGGAATTCTTGTATAGATTCTTGGTACAGCTGAAAATATGAGAATATGTCTGCATCAGACTTTTCAAGACGCTCCTCAAGTAACTTTATCTTCTGTTGCATAAGCTCATTATGCTGTTGCATATTTTCTGATGATACTTTATAAAGACTGGCCTCTTTAAGGGATTCCTCGAGTTTATCAACCTTTTTCTTAAGCTCTTGATTTTGTTGCAAGACTATGACGGCTTGCTCTGCCTGTTTAGTGGCTCTATCTAACAACAGCTGCAGATTCTCTACCTTCATCCATAAATCCTTGCATTCGCCTTTAAGTGTAGAAAGCTTCGATACATCTTCTTGAGAAACTAATAATTTAGACCCCAACTCCTTTACAGAAGATTCCAGACCCGAGCACTCCTTTTCCAACATAACTACACGTTCATCTGTATCCTTAACTTTGTTGAGATGTGCCTTAAGTACCTCTATGTCGTTTTTCAAAGAAAGATTCTCTGTTCTCAATGAGTCTAGCTCTTCGCTAAGAAATTGAACATAACCATTGGTTCCTGGAGGGGAAACCATTTCATGACGGAGCTTCTCCAGTTGTTCTTCAAGAAGCTCCACACGTACTTTCTCCTGGGCAGCAACTCTAATCCTTTCATCAGTCTCGGCCAATTTCATTTCCAATATGTTGATCTCTCCTAGCAATGCCTCCTTCTCACTGAGAATCTTGTGAAGATCATCAAGGGCAGTGACACGTGCTTGGTCAAGGAGAAGAATATCTGGAGAAAATTTATAAGGAAGTGATTTATCTCTTCAAAAACAGAAAATACAAACAATTGACTGCATATGAAACATACTTTTTTCTGCATTTCTTATCATGGACATTAGTTCCTCAAGTTGATCACCGGAAAGCTGCTCGCCTCCACCTCTGTTTATGGCCTGGAAGCGTGAAGAGCGTATTCAAAGGCGGGTTTTAAGTATTAACAGTTATAAATTACTGTTCCAATAAAGTTAAGAACCAAAACAAACTCCAAACCAGAGCTTTCGAAACTTCAGGAACAGTTATACTGCTCAAGTCCTCCCGACCTCCATGTTCATCATCTATGGTGGCGTGAGTATGCTCCTCCTCTGCAGGTTCACTTCTAAGCTGACTTTCTTCGATGGTTTGTGTACTGTCTTTCTTTCCAGGGTATTCATCCACTTGCTTAGTTTGTGATGAGGCATTAATACCAACTTCCTTTTCAGCGTCTAACCTGTGGATTGGAACACTGTCTGCAGAATCATTTTCAGGTCCGGGTTCCTCATCACGGCTGCGCTGAAAATCCGAATTCACCGGGACTGATTCAGGGGTTCCTTTCTTGATTTCTTGTCTTTTACTGGAGCTGAAGGTATGCCAATAAATATCAAAGGGATTTCCAGCCGATGTTCGCAAAATAAATGGAAAACGGCTATATACAATGCAAACGAGAAATTCAGTATCCGGATGGCATGCTTTGGAACAACATCCAACGGGAAAGAATATCCCCTATTCGTATCAATTCATATTCATTGGCTAATTTCCCCTGGACAAGTTAAGATATTTTTCATACGACATCCCAGAGTCACCTGGCCTGGCAATCGAAATCTAAAATCAGTTAATTCAGACCAAATTCACAACTACAACCATTTGCCCAAATCAAAACCGAGAACATAGAAATCAAAACGCCAACTTTCAGAATTAAGAAAATCGAGACCAGAGAAAAAAACACAGACATGGAGGCCCGAGAACTCAAAATGCCCAGCCGAATAAGAATTCAAAGGTACGACAAACACATCACGTAAAGCATCTGAAAATGGAATCACGAGAATCAAAACGCAATGCTCTCGTCACCTGAAACAGGTTACCTTCTATAATTGGAAACACAATCCGAACAAACACGAATCAGAATACGAACACGGCAATGGACCCAATACTCACTCGAAACCACGTTGTCGCATCTTGCAAGAAGCGGGAAGCAATCGACGCGAAGGAACGAGGAAGAATCGGGGACTTCCTTGTTCCCTGTTGCAAGTAAGCCCCGTTAAACCATAGCTCAAGAAGCAGCTAGATAGCTTCGCCGCCATTGATGGACGAGAGAGGGGGGGGGGAGAGGGGGAGAGAGAGAATGGTCGCTTCAAATGAAGCGCTTCGAAACTCAAATATCCTCACTTTTTTGTTGGAACTGTGTAATATCTTCTTCAGGGGTTTAGTATCTTGAGACTGTAATTACATACGCGCAGGTGCACCACAAGACAAAGTAGCCGTCATTTGCGTGTGCCACGTGTATAATGACTTATCAAAATCGAACGGCTCTGAAAAATGTGGGATCCAAACGCGGGTTCACGCGCGTATGCCACGTGCAAGCTTTCGCGTCATTTACAGCCGAAGATAATGGCCATTTATGTATTCTTATTTAACGGAGATTTGTTTTGCGTTTTGAATTTTGCGTTTGGCGTTTTGCGTTTTGCGTTGTACTCCTGACTCCTGAGTCCTAACCGAATATGAACCGGAAGAATTGGTTTGCAATTTCAGATTTGATTTCCCGATTCGGTTATCGTGCTTGTTGATGTGTTTCGGCTCTCGCGGTAAAATAAAATCTCTTCTTCAGCCTTCGAAGGGGATGTTTTCTTTGCTGATGTAATCGATCTTCTGCTTCTTCTTCTTCTTCGATTGGATCATTTGTTGTTTTTCTGGTTTGGATCAATTTCAGCGTGAGATTGGTTACAGGTTGATTTGCAGTATTGGATTTTGGATTTCTTTGGGAAACAGACGGCTGCGTTCTTAACCTGTTAGTCTATTAAACAGGTTCCGAGTTTGATTTTAAAAATCGCTCTTTTTCGTAATATTAGATCTGAACTTGTTGTCTCATCGGAGTTTAGTCTCCATTTTGAGTCAAAGGGCCAAAATTCTGAACTTTAGATCCATCTTCTCTTGTTTTATGACAATTTGGGTAGATCTGAGTTGGATTCTGCGTTTCGAGTTTTGGGCAATGTAGAGGTTTCCCTTGGAGTTGTTCATATGTTGTCGGGTAGCCTCTTAATGAAAGCGCAGGGATATATGTTTTGTGTGTAGTAGTCTGTATTTTCCCTTAATTTCCTCTCTGATTATCTTAAACTGTTTCAATGATGTTTAAGCATTGGATTCATATTTTTTTTTTTAAACAATTTTGTTATGCAAATGTGTTTTGAACAGAGGAAGATAGCTGCTGTTTTTCCTCGAATATGGCTTCGATCGTTGTTAGCCTTGGTTCCATTGTCATGAGCTTGGCAATAGTTCTTATGGTTCGGATTGTGTATGTTATATACCAGTGTGGCAAACCCTTTCGTAGAGGAGCATCAAAGTCTTTTAGTACTCTCATTGTTCTAGGTTCTGGTAAGAAGAGAGATCTGTTTTTTTTTTCCACTGGAAGCAGTATTTTTTTTTCTGGGCACATAACAAAATTGGATATGGGTTCTATTCTGCAGGGGGGCACACAGCTGAGATGTTGAGTCTACTCTCTGTTTTGCAGAAAGATAGATTTAAGCCGAGGTTTTATATTACTGCAGCGACGGATAATATGAGTCTCCAGAAAGCTCGTGCTTTTGAAGATTCGGTAGCTGAGAAGGTATAGCTGAGAAGCTCATACTTTTCCTGATGCTAATTTATAGCTTATAGTTATTTGTAGTTAGTTTGTGTTTAGATTGCATGACTGATACTGTCCTCTTCAGCATTAAATTGGATAATTATTTAACAAAGAGATTATTGAATATGTTCTTGATCCTTGACATGGCTGTGACACTGCCTGGCGCGAAGGAAGGTTCTCCACAGTTCATGCAGATCTACCGGAGTAGAGAAGTTGGCCAGTCTTATGTGACTTCTGTTTGGACTACCCTTGTTGCTATGGTTCATGCTCTGTGGCTAATGATTGGAATCAGACCACGAGTGGTATTACTTCTATATCAATGTTTTCTGTGAAATTCTTGCATTAAGTTATTCTTAGTAAGATTTTTGAATCAGGTTATTTACTAGCTTAAAAACTGTCAGGTTCTATGCAATGGTCCCGGGACCTGTATTCCTCTGTGTGTAATCGCTTTCTTGTTCAAGGTTTGTGCATGCTGTCTCCTGAAATTTTTTATCTTGCAGCTCATTCCGTTAACTGCTTGGCTCAACCATGGTTACAGGTCTTTGGAATTAGATGGTCATCCATCTTTTATGTTGAGAGTGTAGCAAGGGTGAAAAAGCTCTCACTAAGTGGCCTCATTCTTTACAAACTGAGGGTGGCTGATCAATTCTTTGTTCAATGGCCACAACTTCAAAAGAAGTATCCTCGAGCTCATTACGTCGGATGCCTTATGTAAAATGATTGTCTCTCTATATTGGTACTCTTCTTACACCTAGATTTAGTTACAGTCATGTGAGATAACTAGAAACTCTTCTGCTTTGTTTCCAGGATATGCATTACATTTTCATAATAGAGGATTAGTTGCTACGGAAACAAGCTGTTAAATATTTAACTTTTGCAATTGAACTTCTCTGAAGAACAGTTGTTGATGATAATCCACTGAGCTTAAAATGAGCTTTCTGTAATCTTCTTCAAGTCTAAACCAGAAAAAATATAGTATATATTAAAGGTAAAACCACTCCCTATTACATCGATGCAAACTATTCTTGACTGGGACTTCATTCTGAGTTGCATCATGAATAATGTATTGTCTATTCTTCATTGTACGATAGATTCAGGCTGATGAGAAAACTAGGTTACTCGATGAGTCTATGTACTCGTGAAAGTAGGACATCATCTGTGTGGACACATATCGGCCTATCTCGACTGCTCGTCCATCTCTTCTGGTATTGATGGGTTTGAGGACTCCATTATGGGGGTTCCATGCATGTTCTTCATTTTGTTCTCATCAAGATAGTGTTGGTATGCATAGGAAGTGAAACCCCAAATAGCTAAGACCATGGAAATCACCTTTAACCCATTCATTTTGTCATGGAAAATGATCACAGCCAAGATAGGAACCACAGGCAGACCCAGAACACTTATCGCGTTTGAGAACAAAGAGGAAAGCTCAAAGATCAGTCCTGTACCACCGATAGAGAATACCTGCCAAGAGACAGCAGTCCAGACCAGGTTCATGATGTAGGATACCTTCCCAAGTTTGTATCTTTGCATCTCATGGTTTAAACTTCTCCACTCGCCACTAGCGAAAAGCCCTACCATGCTAACGAAACTAGCAACTAGCCCCAAGTAGATTATCATGTCCATGACTACTGAGAAAGTTTGCCTCTTTAGGACTTTGCAGAAAGCTAGCTGTTGAAGGGATAAGACAAGACCATATCCAGCAGAAGCACCAACTGTGCATATGAACCCTATGGCATACTTTCCTTTCGAAACTTTTGCAGAATTCTTTTCCTCATCGTTGAAAGCGAGGAGGGTGGAGGAGATAGTGAGGAGAAAAAGGGCATTCAAGATGAAAGGAGTGAGTTTCAGTGAGTTGAGGAAGTAAGAAAAGAAAGCATTGAAAGCTAGCTGGGATGCACATATAAGGGAATAAGTAGACACTGGTAGGTAAAGCAACCCGATAGAGTACAAGTAGCAGTCAGCTCCTACAATGAGTCCTAGCACGACATAAACTGATCCAACACTCACAGGTGAAGCTGGTCTGAAATTTCCCAAAGTTGTGGTCACATCTTCTTTGACAGGTGACAGGAAGTAATAAGGAAGCAGGATAGGGAAACCTACAAGCTGAACAAGTGTTGCCAGCCATTTGCTCTTTCCTCCATTGTCATAGTACATCCTGCCCAAGATTGTGGCAACTGTTTGGCCAGACAGGACAAAGAACGTGTAGCTACCAATCCGGAGCCACTTTCTGAAACTCCTTGACTTAGGTACTGATGAATTCCTGTCTTCCTGCTCTGTTGGATTTGGTTCTTTTTCCTGTTGAACTGGCAAAGTAAGAGGGAAAATGCAAAAACCCAGTTTAATACTTACACTAGTTGTGAATGATCTATAAGATATATCATTCCATCATTTTCCATGAACTGATTTATGATGGCTTACCAATGACTTGGAGTTCTTGATCCCCTCTCATGGTGAATCTGAAGCAACTTCTTGGGAGATGGATTAGGAGGAGGGAAGGGAAAGATAGAGAGGGAGAGTTCAAGACTGCTTATATAGAAACGTTAGGCAGCTTACATCCAATTCTTTTCTTTCTTTCTTTTTTGGGTTTTCTATCACATGGTTTGCTGCCCTGCCCTTTGGTATGTGTGAAGATACATCTATATACGCAGGGATTAGATATTGGTCACCGTCTATGCTTTCATTGATCTTGGCCCACGTTCAGTAAATTTCACCTATATCCCCATCTGTTGAGGTGAACTAAATGTTGATCTTGTCTTGTAGCAACTGCAATCTACCTTAGTTTTTGACCAAGAATTGTCATCTCTCTCTCTCTCTCTCTCTCTCTCTCTCTCTCAAGAAGAGGAGTGATGCATTTGGTAATACATATGTCCGTGGTCGACGTATACACATGTATGATCTCTCGAGGAGCCCACGTTTGAATCCAGTGACATAGAAAGAAGATGATTATCTTAGAATGAAATTTCTTCCTTCCTTTTTGTTTTTCTTTGAAACCCAACTTGAAGATGACGTGACCTTTGAAACACACTTTACTTGGATCTACTTGACGTCATGTGTGACATAAAATAGGAGCCCCAAGTCATGATTTTTTCTTCTTCTTATTATTATTACATCATCGTACGTTTTCTTTTTATGTAACATGAAAAGGTGATCCCACGGGGTTGTGAAATTTTGATCATGCACATTAGAAAACGAATTTTCTTCTGTTTCATAGGAATATTGTGCAAGTAGAATTCATCCATGACCATAATTCAACTAGATCCATCATTTATCGTCATAAAAACTGCAGAACAAAGTGAATCGACTGGTGCATTATAGCTGTGGAAATTAAATCTCAGGGTAGTTTGGGTATTATTATTGTATGCACGTAGGATCGGCACCTTTAATTATAATTTATAAAGCTAATGCGTTAGAAAACATTGCATAGACATGGAGGATCAACACCTTAATTGTAAAGTTAATGCATAATGAATGCGTTAGAAAACATTACATAGACATGGAAGATCGTCGCCTTAATTATAAAGTTAATGCATTACAAAACATTACATAGACAATGGAAGAACAGCAACTTAATTATAAAGTTACGTTGTATTCCCTATTCAACAAAGACGGACCCATCACGGATCTTTGGATTGTACGGATGATCATTACAACACGTGATAAAATACCCATGCAGTTAAATGCCTAAAAAAGGAAAACGAATATATATATAATCCTCTCAAGATCATCGACCCACTAGCTAAAATATCAACATGCTAAAGAGAACAAAACCAAAAAAGCTATTAGTGTGTGTATATATAACATATAATTATAAGTTATGTATATACGTAAGTAAGTCTCGTCAAGGCTCGTGCTTGAAGAAAAGAGAGGGGAGAATCTCCTTCAAAAGCCCATAATCACTGCCTTGTGAAAAACCCGAGTGCTGTTGAGAACTAGGGTTCACGTTCACACTGTCATCATCGCCACCACCACCACCGCTTTGACTTTGACCATATCCATGCGTCAGCGCTGCCGCACCTCCGCCGTGGACGAGACCTTCCGCCGTCCTCCTCATCAAGAAATCATGGGCTAAGGTTCTTGGATCGGCGGAGGTGCCGGAGAACATTCCGGCGGCGGAGCTTCCCCTGAGATTGGTCGGGATCGGGTGGTTATGTTGGCCCTCGTAGGTTGTAATAACCACCGTTGGATCTTGGTACGATCTCTCCACGCGTTTCTTGACGTTGCACCTCTGCGTCGTGCATCTGTAGTAACTCCTGTTAACGAGTTTTTTTTTTTTGGTGTTATAGTGGTTATGCATGCGAACCAATATTGTGCATATACTAATACGTAATATATAGAGATAAATAATATCATCGTGTGTATATATATACATATATATGTGTGTGCGTGTGCGTGTGTGTGTGTATATACCTGGGATAAGGGCTGTTCTTGACGGCTTTTTGGCCGTATTTTCTCCATCTATAACCATCTTCGAGATGTTCGACTTCGCTCTTAGTCATAAACGCTACTCGAGGCTCTTTTCGCTTCGTCTCCTCGCTCTTCTTCGCTTTAACTCTGAATGTATAAATATAAAACAAGAGATTCCGTATATATATATTAATTAAAGACCGAAGAAGATTATCATGATCAAATTAATTGATTTTAAAAAAAAAAATATAGAGTACAAGAAAATGGACAAATCTTTGGCTGCTGCGCATTGATCACGTGATTAGCGAGCAAAACCTCATTATTCACAGACAGCTCGATCGGTTTGGACCCATCAAGATTTTCTTGTCCATTCATAGCGAACTATAAGCCTATATATATATAGTAGCTATATATATATATATATGGAGTTCCCAAGAACATGTTTCGGAGAAATATAAACTTTGTTATTTCTTGAACCAGTGAACTGATCAGCCAAGAATCCTCCAAGAAAACATTTCAAGATATGATTCACTTATTAGATCTTGCATTTCAACTTCAACTCCGCATTATCTTAATTTTCTCTAATTATGAGCTGAATGAATTAAGCTGAAAATTCAAGAACTTACGCTTTCTTAGAGCATTCTCCTCCACAATCTTCTTCATCACCTCCTCCTCCACCGGCCATCGCCTCCCTTTTCCTGCGGATTCTGCAGGATTCGTCGGGATGATCGGCTTCATTCGAGGAATTACAAGAGACAGAAACCCTAATACTCTCAGTAGCTGCGCCAATATTACCACCCTCGTCATGTCGATATTGTTTAACATCGTTGTCCTCTTGATAGATTGAAGAGAAAACCTCGGGAGAAGACGGGAACAGACCGAAAGCCTTCTCGAGCGACTCGTAGTCCGCCGATGAACTGTGGAGACAATCATTGAAGCTTGTTGGTATAAAGTTTCCATAAGCCGACGGCCCTTGAACAGAATCATGGGGATTGATGATCTTGTGGTCGTGCTTGTGATCATCCTCGTACAGGTACGATGAAGCATACAGGTAGTTGTACATATCTTTTGTTTCATTAGACATGACAACTAATAGAAGAAGAAGAAGAAGATGAAGTTTTTAGATTGGTTTAGGTTTCTGGGTCTAATTTGCGAACTATTGGGTCAGCATTTGTCCATACTTGTGCCTTTTGAAACTCAAACGAGAGAGAGAGAGAGAGAGAGAGAGAGAGAGAGAGAGAGAGAGAGAGAGAGAGAGACTAAATTGGTTTGGAGGATCAAACCAAAACAAATATAGACATATACATGTAGCAATCTCGTTTTGGATGTGAACTGAAAACTATATATGACGACAAATCTTGGAACAGGAATTTTCCAACATGCCCTTTTTCGGTACAGAAGAACGCTGGAGGGTTCTCCAATTAAAAAAAAAGTTGACAGCGAATAATTTTTAAAAAATAATGTTAACATGAAAAATGGGCACATAAATCTTGTATACAAATTTAGTGTCGTCAAAAAAAGACAGTGGATAAAATAGAGAGCAAAAGCGTTATAATTACCCTTTGTAATAATTTCTTCGTGGCTCTATATGGCCTTAATTAGGCTTTGAATGAGATTTTTTTTCTTTCAATAATTTGTGTAAATTAAGGATAAGTCCACAATATCCCCCAATTGGGAGAGTGCAATCAGTGGCTTCTAATGAGGAAACATTCTAAACAATCTGCGTTTGTTGGTGCTTAAACGCCTAATTGTTTTTTTAAATGAAATTAATGCATATAGTAATATTTAATTCAGTGGACCGTTTCATCGTTGATTGAAAAAAGCCGTACACTTTATGTTTCTAGATTGTGAGGGAAGGCTTACGTAATTGACGGAGTCATGCGAAGCCTAATCGCTTAACTCTGACCGGCAACCGGCAAACACTCAGTCTTCCGGTCACTTTTTGGCGCAAGAGGGAGGGGAAGAGACAGTCAAACGTTTGGAGGGGCGAAAAAGATAAAAAGGCGTTTTTGGGAGTATTAGGCTGCCACGTGTAATCACCGGCACCGGCATTTGACCGTAGCCAGACGCATCACCCGGCACGTGCGAGACCTCCCTCCATCCATATGTCCTTTTAATTAGTTTCTTATGATTAAATCATTATTAAAATTTCTGAATATTTTTTAATCATGATCTTGTCTATATTATTTTGTAAAAAAAATGTTCCTATTTTAATACATCAATGGATGGTAATATCTATTTCTAATGTTTTACTTTTATAAATTGGTCAAAAGTATATATTTTAATAGGACCGAACTATAGTTATTTTCACGGAATGAAGCGTTATGCTGACGGATACATAAAGTCATGACATTTTGTCAAACTCTTTTTCACACTAAGCTTCTCAAACCATGGCATTTAAATTATGTAATCGCTTAATACATAGATATACTCATTTTTTATGTAAATTTTTTTTTATAGTATTGTAACAATCTGGAGTGACCCAATAAAAACCGCACAACGGGATTTTTTTTATATAAAATAAAAATAATTAGAATAATGATACAAACAGCTAATTGTGAAAAGGTGGGAATATGAATAGATATAAAAAGCCTAACCGACAAGATAAATCAGAAGGGAGCCCGTTCCCTCAACTTTCCATATGGTCAAAGTAAAACATTCAATAAAAATCAAAATACAAAAAAAAAATCATGACAGAGAAAGGACAAAAAAAAAGGAGAAGGAAAGTTTTCTTAAAAACTAAAAACAATGTAATTACTGTCACTTGGAATCATTAAAAGTTACAAAATCAAAATTCTCTACATATATATAAAGAGAGATCCTTAGCTACAAATGTGTATAAGTTGAATTGTATGACCCACTTGTGGGACATGTACCTAACTTTCCAAATATAGTTTTCTTGATGAGGAGGAAGCTTTTTCTAAAGTTTACCATTAATACACATTTGTATTGATACCCCCAATTATTATATTTTAGTATAAAATCATAAAAAATACATACATGTAAATTATAATACGTGTAATAATCTATATAATCCGGTAACCACTAAATCTATATAATCCGGTAACCACTAAATCTATATAATCCGGTAACCACTAAATCTATATAAAAAATTATTAACCTACTTTATTTACTACTGTAGTTTTATCTTTGGCTAATATTTTGAGTAAAATTATTAACCTACTTTATTTACTACTGTAGTTTTATCTTTGGCTAATTTTATCTTTATAGTAATAATGCCTTTCTTACAATAGTAAAGTAGAGTTGAAGTAAAGATACTGTCTGTCAAAGGAACCAAACACTAGTGAGTTATGTGTTTCCTACAGTTAAAAGCATAAGCTGAAGAAAAACAAGTCGTGGAGGTTAGTGAGCAAAGCCAACTGAAGAAAGATCTCATCCTCCAAGAGAAGACCTAACTTGAAACACACGTAAATGGAAGTTTTCGACCTTTGAGATCAGGAAAAGGGCGAAAAGAAAAACGGAAATGGAAACAAAGAGGAGGAAAGCCGAGCAGGGTTCGATCATCTCGATCAGTAGCTGTTCTGCCATAGTTGCTGAGCCTGTTTAGAAGCATGGGTTTGTGCCACAGAAGTGTCTCTAGGGTTTTGATGGTGATGGTTATGCTCCATTGACATGCCTGCCTGTGAATAGTAAGGGCTCATATACCCGAAATGCTGCTGCGATGGCTGCTGTCTGAATCCCCCCGGCGGCTGCTGGTTCTGACCAGGAAAGCTGTAATATGTGCTTCCCGGTACTACCGACACCACACGTGAGTTCTGTCCTTGAAGCCATGCTTGCGAACTTTCGTTCTGAGATCGATCAAGAAAAAGTATCGGTTTTTAAGGTTTTGAGTCCTTGAGAGATGGTTCTTGGCTTGTATTTGCAATGCCCAGAAGGAACAAAAAATATATCAAGAGTTGTGTTCTTGGTTTTACCTGCTGAATCGATGCAAAGTGATTGCTGTCCTTGAACTGTGAGCTTAAGACATCATTATTGTCATAACCCATCGTGGTATTTCCGGTGCTAGATTGGTTCAAGGGGAAGTTACCTCCCGGGACGTTACTTGAGGCGCCAAACCCGTAAGCCGAGGGAACAGCTGCTGACTGAGGAAGATTGCTGCTTTTGTACTGTGGAAGCATTGCGGCTAGAGACTGAGGGTACGTTTGCTGAAAACCCGAGGGCATGTAGGGGTAACTCTGAGGCAAGAAAGGGTAACTGATCATATTCGTGTAATGTCCCAAAGGCAGCGTAGGCTGAGAGTAAGGATGCATGGCGAGGTGTTGAGCCAGAGCCGCTGGTCCCGGGCCAGTATTTGCGCCAGTCGTGGATATATTTGCAGCTCTTAGTGCCTGTGAATTCATGGGTAAGAATGATCAGTACGAGTTCGCATCAACAAAAGGGGTTTTCATGAAAGAAAAAAAAAGAGTACATGAAAGGAATTACCTCTGCCATAGAAATGGCTGGGCCAGGAAGGGG